CCCCCCCTCCTTTCCCCAGCACCCTTCCGTCGACCTTGATCCGGTGGATAGAGCGCTGACCTCAAGTAGTTCGTACCCCCTCAACCCGAGGCCTATGCTCCAGGACCTGTGCGTTCCCTCCCTTCCACCCCCACCCTCCTCCTCTCGCGATTCCCACGCATCCAGAGGCGCGACCTCGAAAGCTAACCGCGCAATCCCCCTCCCCCGCAGCGTCAACAAGGACATCGTCGTCCGCCTAAAGTGGGGCGACACCGAGTACAAGGGCCGGCTCGTCAGCATCGACTCGTACATGAACATCCAGCTCAGCGGCGCCGAGGAGTACATCGACCAGAAGATGACCGGCGCACTGGGCCAGGTCCTGATCAGGTGCGCTGCGCCTGCGAATCTCCCCCTTGTCTACGCGACGGAATGGCTGACAAACTGGCAGGTGCAACAACGTCTTGTGGATCAGGGCGGCCGGCGCGGGCAGCAATGGCGACGTCAAGATGGAGGGTTGAGCCGCGCGCACAAGACATGACACGAACGCACGATGCAGAGTCTATGCCTGTCCGACCACCTCCGAGTCAGGAGGCCGAGACTGAATATTCAAAATGTGAATGCGAGGCGGTGGGCATGATGCTACTGAGAGACGAATGGACAGATATGGGGGCCTGTCACCAGCGGAAACGAATGGCGTTTAAAGAGGGGTGGGAACGGCACAATCCACAGCAATGGAAGTTTCAGGCCGGTCGTTGCAAAAAAAGGGAAATTTGGCGATCAATCCGTCTATCCACCCTCATCCGTCGTCATCATAACGATCATCATCATCAGGATAGATACCCCGCCCTTCAATTCTTCCTTCCTGAAGCAGAAGACACTTCAGACCCGTTGATAGCTCCTATGTCCTCTTGTGCCCTGCTGCCAGATCTGCGCATCACACTGACCACTTTGATCTCCGCGTCTACCTCGGCAAGAGGTGCCCCCGGTGCTCTCACATCAGGCATGCGACCTTGCGGCTGCTCGTGAGCTCTGAGCTGCCCACCTTGATCCGCTGGCCCTCACCCACCCAGGTGTAGGCCTCGATGAGCCACTCGTACCAGACCTTAGAGTCGTCCGTCTGACGCCACATGCTAACCTCGAGCTCCGTGTCGGCAGGGTAGTATAGTGGTTGCTGCATTCCGCGCGTCAGTCATGCACCTCTAATGAGGCGCTGGGAAGGAAGAAAAGGAAGTAGACGAAGAAGAGAGCTTTACCTTGATGGGGAAGTAGATCGGGAACCACGAGATCATATCCTTGCTCTTCTGATCAATCTGGTCAGGATGCGTGCTGATCTCGACCTTAGCCTTGTCGCCAAGGCGCGGCGCGTAAAGCACCGATTCGAAGTAGCCCGCCAGTCCGTGAATAACGCCCCTGGTACGGCACACGAAGGTCAGGTGGCAGAAGCGCGAGTTGTGGTCGTTGGCGCCTGCGGCACCGGCCATGCTGCCTCCGCCGCCGCCCATGACGCCACCTGCGCGGCGGGCTTCCATCAGCTGCATCGTCGCTTCGGGAAGGGGGTGCTCAAACTCCCAGGCTTGCTGGAAGCGGGGGTGGCCCGGTACCTTCTCCGCCGCGGCAAAGTCCATGGCAAACAGACGAACGACCCAGGGCGTTTCAAAAGCGTTAGGGTCTGTGGGCAGACGGGTCAGGAGGTCGGAGTGAATGCGCGGGTGGGCGACAGGGGTCATATGGGCCGTGTAGGACTCCGGGATGGAGATGCCGTGGGGAGCGAGGACGTGTTGGACTCCGTCGAGGCACTCCGGGGAGAGCTCGTTATCGGCGAAGGAACCGAGAAGCTCAGAGACGAGGATGTCGACCTTGCCGTAGACGGGGTTGTTGTCGGGAGTGCCGGACACGAGAGGGCCCTTCCAGGCACGCATGTCTGTCTTGACCACGGTCACGCGGCCACCCCAGACCAGTTCGTTCTGGCGCAACAGGTAGACATATGCATTGGGATTCTTCTCCACAGCCCAGACCTCGACCGCGACGCCCGTCTCGTTGGCAGCCTTGAGTGCACGAGTGACCAAGGGACCACGACCGGAGCCGGCAACAGCGATGACGACAGCTCCCTTGGGCGACGAGCACGCACGTCCGAGGTCCTTCCATTCGGCCAGAGCTTCCGCAATAGCTTCCTCGTACTGGTTGTACTTGACTGGATCACCTTCGAAGATCTCGTAGGTGGCCGACTCAAGGTTGTCCGAAAGTGGCTGAAGGGGTGATTGCAGCCAATCCTGAAAGCTCGTAAGGGTTGTCCTTTCGAGGTAGTTGAGGGGTGGCTGCTGGAACTCAAGCCACTTGAGGTACTCAATGTAAGCACGGAACGATTTGGGTTCGCTCTCCTTGGGGGTCGTTTCTCCGAGAGCAGGAAAGTCTGCTTGCGCCGCCCGCTTCGCCTCGGCATCGAGAGTCGCCAGATCTGGGCCAGTGTCGACAAGAAGCAGCCAGGGCGCATTCTTGAGGCGCATGTAAGAGAACAAAAGATCTTGGTGTGTCCTGGGCAGGGCCGGGTGACCACTCGCGTTCTTCTTGAATGTCTCGGGCCTCAGAGTGAGGTAGTGTAGGGGCTCAGCAAACCACTTCTCCTGGACCTCACGCTCGGGCAAGACCTTGGGGATCCTCAAGGCTAAGAAAAGACGTTGGCGGGCAGTTCACGCAAAAGGTTCTCGAGTAGGAGTAGAATGGTGACGTACCGACGAACAACCTCAGGCTGTATTCGCAGATGGTACGAATGACGTGCCATGAGTCCCACGTGCTGTACACATCAATCTCTTGGGCCGCTTTCTTCCCCTCGCCCAATAGGACGGAAAGGGTATCAACCTTCTCCTCGAGACCGGGCTCCCTGTACATGGGGATGTGGATGAGAAAGTTCAGGCGGCTGCCTACAGTCATGGCCTCCTGTAGGGCCCGACCGTACTGGGCAAGCCCCTGGTTGCCGCCGTTCTTGGAGGCATCGGCTCTGGGGCCGGGGACGACGACACTTCTGACGCCACAGAAGTTGGCGTAAGCAACCTCGAGGTTGAGGACCTGGCGAGAGATGTTGGCGATGACAGGGTTAGTGGAGGCCAAGTCGATCCAGGGGCTCGTGTAAGCGATGTAGGTGTTGACGACAGGGCTTGGGAACAGAGCTGTGTCCTTGGGCGTCAGAGGCGGGATGATGGGGTCGGCCAGGCTCTGGGCATGGGGGCCGGCCTCTTTGACGAGGGCGAGGTGGGCCTTGACCAACTCGACTACGCGGGAATGGAAGTTCTTGTTCGTCACAGGGCTAGTCACAAATGTGATCTGGGGGCACGATCAGCAACGGTTCTCGCTTACGCCAAGTGCGCTTTCAACACAATCTTACACCAGCATTCAGAACCTGCCCATACTGCATATCATTAAGGGGCTCCTCTCGAGTAGAATCATGCTGCCCGAGATGAAAGTTGGGCCGAGCGGTACTGTACTCGCCGCCATCCTGCGAGTAGTTGTCGTTGTCGGCCATGGTGGGCAAATGCCAGTGGTGGTGAGGGGCAGATGTTAATCCCGTCGGGGAGTCAAGTAGAGAGTTCTTTTTAAATGTGCTCTTGGTCGAAAATGGATTTTGGGTGAAACGTGAGACCTCCTCAGCAAAGCATGTCGCTCGGGAAAATGAGTGACCTTGCCGCTGGTCTCTCTCTCCGGGAAATCAAATCGAGATCGACGGATATGAGCCGGTGTACCGAAAGATTCAACGGTCTGATTCAGTTTTCAGAAATTCAGTGAAAGAAAGATCCGTCTCTGTCTTGCCCCTTGCCCTATTGGTCGGTGTACTCTGTCAGGCCCAGGACCCTGAAAAGACAGTGCCCATTGAGCGTATGGCACAGACGGGTTCAAGGTCCACAATGCTGCTGCCGCAAGTCGGTCGCGGGAGCAAGTATGATGTTCCAGATTTTCCGATACGAATGGCTGTCGGCGACTTGAGGTCTTCAAGTCAGCTCGTGAGTTGAGACACCTGAATTCGCCCACAACCAGGACGCATCGTGAACTGTCGAAAGCCACTTCCCGATTATTCTCGCACAGTACGCGATTCTGGAAGGAATGACCCACCATTGGCCCGCCGCCCGCCCCTGCCGTGCGTGCGATCGGTCTTGCCTCGCCTTATCTTATCAGCATCCCTGGCAGGCGCTCCCCTCCAATTTTTTTTGTTTGCGAAGGCAACTGCCATCAACAGGCTTCACTCTCCCATTCCCTCAGCCTCGAGCCCACCGTCGCCAACCTGACGCCATCCTCCCGAGAGCCTACGTTCTGACTCTACCCACTTCGACAGAGCCGTCTACAGCCATCGGATTTCGCACCTCCCATCCCACTACCGGGTCGACAATGGCTGACGCCAACGGGAAGCGCCACAGTTCTGACGACGGTCAAGCTGCGTACGAGAGGCGGAAGAAGATGAAGACGGACAGCCCCGACATCAAGATGGAAAAATATGAAAGCATCGACGAAAAGGTCAAGGTTAATCCCTACCTTGCCCATATGAACAATGGTGGCGGCGACGACCCCTTTGCCGACTTCGAGCCCCGTAACACCACGGCCAAGCAGGCCGCGGTCGTGGAGGACCTCACCCACAACGCCTTCACCGGAAAGGAGCATACGAAGAAGTATTTCGATATTTTGCGTACGCGTCGCGACCTTCCAGTCCACAAGCAACGCCAGGAGTTTCTTGACAAGTACCACTCGACACAGATCCTCGTCTTCGTTGGTGAGACGGGTTCTGGCAAGACGACACAGATCCCGCAGTATGTCCTCTACGACGAGTTGCCCCAGCGCAACAGGAAACTCGTTGCCTGCACACAACCGCGCCGTGTGGCAGCCATGTCCGTCGCTCAGCGTGTCGCCGACGAGCTGGATGTGCCTCTTGGTGACGAGGTTGGTTACAGCATCCGTTTCGAGGACAAGACCAGCCCCAGAACGGTACTGAAGTACATGACTGATGGTATGCTGCTCCGCGAGGCCATGCACGACCACCAAATGTCCCGCTACAGCTGCATCATTCTTGACGAGGCACACGAGCGCACGCTAGCCACCGATATCCTCATGGCCCTGTTGAAGAATGTTGCCCAGCGCCGTCCTGACCTGAAGATCATCGTCATGTCTGCCACGCTCGATGCCCAAAAGTTCCAACGCTACTTCAACGACGCCCCTCTTCTTGCAGTGCCCGGTCGCACCTTCCCTGTCGAGATATTCTACACCCCTGAGCCAGAGAAAGACTACGTCGAAGCTGCCATTCGCACTGTTCTGCAGATTCACGCCTCCGAAGGCGAGGGAGACATCCTCGTGTTCCTAACGGGCGAGGAGGAGATTGAAGACGCGTGTCGCAAAATCAACCTTGAGGCTGACGAAATGGTTCGCGAGATTGACGCCGGCCCGCTCGCTGTTTACCCGCTTTACGGCACCCTGCCGCCTGGTCAGCAGCAACGCATCTTCGACAAGCCCCCAGCACCATTCAAGCCTGGCGGCCGTCCCGGCCGCAAGTGCATCATTGCGACAAACATTGCAGAGACGTCACTGACCATTGATGGTATCGTATACGTTGTTGACCCCGGCTTCAGCAAACAAAAGATTTACAACCCCCGTATCCGCGTCGAGTCTCTTCTCGTGTCCCCCATCTCCAAGGCGTCCGCGCAGCAGCGTGCTGGTCGTGCTGGCCGAACAAAACCCGGCAAGTGCTTCCGCCTATACACGGAGCAGGCCTTCAAGAAGGAGCTCATTGAGCAGACGTACCCTGAGATTCTGCGTTCGAACCTGGCCAATACTGTTCTCGAGCTGAAGAAGCTGGGCGTCGAGGATCTTGTCCACTTTGATCTCATGGATCCCCCTGCGCCAGAGACGATGATGCGCGCCCTTGAGGAACTCAACTACCTGGCATGCCTTGACGACGAGGGCGAACTCACGGCCTTGGGCAGCAAGGCCTCCGAGTTCCCCCTCGACCCAGCCCTTGCCGTCATGCTCATATCGTCGCCCGAGTTCTATTGCTCCAACGAGATCCTTTCCATCACGTCCCTCCTGTCGGTACCCCAGATCTGGATGCGCCCTGCCGCCAGCCGTCGTCGCGCCGACGAGATGAAGGCACACTTTACGCATCCCGAGGGCGACCACCTGACGCTTCTCAATGCCTATCACGCCTTCAAGGGTGAGATCCAGAAGGGCGCGGACGTCAAGCGCTGGTGTCACGATCACTTCCTGTCCTACCGTCACCTTCAGAGTGCCGACAACGTGCGCGCCCAGCTCAAACGCATCATGGAGACGCACGACGTTGACCTCATGTCGACCCCGTTTGAAGACAAGAACTACTACAACAACATTCGTCGGGCTATGCTGGCAGGCTTCTTCATGCAGGTCGCTTTCCGTGAGAGCTCTGGCAAGGTGTATCGTACCATCAAGGATGACCAAGCCGTCATGCTTCACCCGTCCACAGTCCTCAAGACGGACTACGAATGGGTGGTCTACAACGAGTTCGTACTCACCTCCAAACAGTACATCCGTACCTGCACCGGCGTACGCCCAGAGTGGCTTCTTGTGAGTTTGAATCCACCATACCCTTGCCCAAGCATTGAGCTTTTTGGACCAGCTAACAGAGTCTTACGTAGGAAATCGCACCCATCTATTATGATCTCAGCACATTTACCAAGGGTGACGCGAGGTCAGCGTTGGTCCGCGCGTCAGAGAAGAAGCGCCGCAAGGAAGCTATGAAGGCGGGACGGTAAACGAGCGAAACGCAGTTGCAATTTGGTTCTTGGTATTCTGGGGACGTGGGGGAGATATTCGGACGCGGCTCCGCCTCCGCGACGAGCTCAGTGACTACGGGGCAGGGTGACCTGTCGGTGGACATGACCTGCAGGAAAGGTGTCACACGATAGACGAAGATGGAGTAAGGTAGATGATCTGTGTATCATCTGCCAGTTGCTGCAGGGACGAGTGAGTTGATAAACGGAAAGGGAGAAGAACGGACTCAAAAGTCGTGCTAGATGGTAACATGAAGATTTCTGACCAAACAGAAGCTTACGGCCTCTGCTCCGGTGCCCCCTCTATTTCTCCTGCGCCCCAGACGTGCCTCTGTAGCGTCCTCGGGGAGTAATTCGATACGGCTTAGGCGTATCCCGATGCCGTTGTTGTGGCACGTTTTCCAGCGGTCCCCCTGAGAGCCCAGTGGAAGACTTGCTGTCTCCCTCATCAGGTAAACCAGCCACTCTGAAGCCTATTCTTCATTCCATAGTCAAGACCTGGTACGGCAAGGACAGCAGAAGCGCACCAAAAAAACATGGTCAAGCATATACATCAGAATGAGTCTACGTGAAAACCGGCTGGCAAAGAAAGAGACCGGCCGGCGCGCGCGCCCCTTGCAGATTCCAGAGCAACAGTGGGACGCCGTAGCCGGGCCAGAACATCGGCCTCGCCATGGCTGTGTCGCCGGCGTCCCCCTGCTTAGAGGCTCCGGGGAA